AAGGGAAATGTCTATATATACGATGTTAAAGGTAAGGAGTAATAAATAAGTTTATAAATTTCCTTAGGCCTGGTGCCCACGATGCTAGAAATCGATCCGAGTTCTCGGACCGAGGAATATATAATCAATTAACTTTCCAGATAACTAAATTATAAATTAATAATTACTAAATTAATTAATTAATTAATTACTAAATTTATTAATTTATTGTTATTTTGCTGAGAAGCAATTATAGCTAATGTCGAAATACGCTTTCGATCATTTTGTACAACATATGTAGGCGCAACACACATGTAGTATGTCACATTGAGCATTCTTCCATGGCTGTTCGAAAACTCCTCTCGATACCAACTCCACTAACCCCACCAAGCCCATCCACCACAGCCACTTTCCGTCATGGACTTTCAGTGTTTTCGAACGCACCCTTGCATCGGCCGGAGAACTCCTAAACCTTAATTTTAACTCTATCCTAAGAACCTCGTAAGATTTGGAACAATTAGATTACATAATTTTTACGCTGATAATTATAAATTCCCATCCTAGAGTAGTGTAGAATATTTCTTTTAGAATTAGATCTTTATGTATCTTAATACTAAAATATATAATTATTATATAAAGCCAATTCTTAATTTCTTGATTCCACGAACAAGGCCTCTTCTTCCATATCCCTCTTAATTGCGTCCGAACCACCACCTCGGCGACATGGGTTAGTGAAGTTCTTACGTTCTTAAATCGGGCCGTGATTCAACACTCCGATATTAAATGTGCGGTTTGTACCGAGAATTATGACAAACGGCCCTCGATCAAAATTGTCATCAGAAGTTGCCACCCTCAACCTCTGCAAAAAGGGGTTCCTGACCACACTACTACGGGGAGCTCTGGCGCAAGACCTGTAAGCAAAGGCGACACTCTAGATAACTGGGCGCAGAAGCCGGTAAGTTAGGACTTTATTTGCACTACTTTCTTTAATCCGTGCGTAACAGCGGGCATATATATATATATATATTACTTATCTGATATTTGTTTATCATCCATTTATTTCTTGTACTATCTTCCTTGTGTAAACTTATGTAAACTTGTCTTCAATCTTGCACAGACTTCATTCCATATTTAATGATGTTGCCAAAATAATTCCACTGCAAAGAATTATGTCACAAACATGAATGATATCATAACGTACTAAAACTGAAACATTAAAATTATACAATTGTATACAATAATAATCTATTAATTTATAAATACATATATATTCACACATACGTATAATTATTTTTTTATCTCGTTTATCTCCATGCACTCCACGTTTCCACCTATTTGCGTCATTTTAATATTTTTTTAATTTTATTTTATGCCCCATTATGTATTTTATATTAATATTTATGAAGAATCACAATTCTTCGATATTTACTGTTTACACTCTCCCATAATCTATCTAAAAGATTTCGCAAACTAACAGACTCACTACTTAAACAGTGTTACTGATATACAGAAATTAAAATTATATCGTCTAGAGGTTTTCGTTCGTACCAATACTATCCTCTCCACTTTTCGGGAAAATGTAGTCCAACCCTCACTTACCATTTGTTTAAAATATTTCAAGTAGTATCACTGCTATGCGTCAAGGTACTTTTACATGGGAGCATCGAGCATCGAGCGTTAAAGCGGTAGCCAATCAACGTGCCACTTTCCGCAAGAACTACAAGTATATTTCTAGAACCTGATACGTTGATTGGTTAACGCTTTAACGCTCGAGGCTGGAATGCTCCCATACATTGGCACCTTTAGATAGCAGCATTAGGGCTATCGCACACAAATTGACATAACTGCATATGCATAGCATAAGACCGTATGTACCAATGAGCATCGAGTATTTAGTCGCCATATTGGTGTTCGATGCTTAATATTCGATGCTCATTGGTCCATACGATTTTATGCTATGCATATGCAGTTATGTCAATTTGTGTGCGATAGCCCTTAATGTCGTCAAGCAAAATGGCCGAAGGCTTATAACTCCTGCACACTGGACGCGGTAATGCTTGCCGCGCGGCGGAAATTCGCGCGACAGCCAATCAATATGCTACTTTCTGTAATAACCTAGCTCTTACGGAAAACCAATATATTGATTGGCTGTCGCGTGGACTTCCGTCGCGCGGCAGGCATTACTGCGTCCTGTGTGCAAAAGCCATTACCCTCCTTCCTCAGCTTGGCTTCAATCCTCACGCCCGCACACACCGTCCTTTAAGTCCGTGCCCTGACTTAAGTACATTTGTCAATATATTAACGTAAGAAATTCTCACGAACTCCCATCGTTGAGAATTAATAACTACGCGTTTGCGAGTAAAAAATCGTTTTTAATCCCTTCAACTCCTACCAGGTGAGTTACATGCTGTGCTTATTAATAGTTAAGGTCTTTGCACGTCAGAAAATCTTAACCGTAATTCCGTAAATTTCCAACACATCAATCAAATAGAGCAATGCAAGTAAAAATTCGTAATCGTACGGCTATACATGAATTTTCACTTGCGTTGCTTTATCTGATTGTATGTGTTGGAAATTTACGGAATTATGGTTACGGTTAAGACTTTTTGACGTGCAAAAACCTTTACGTTTAGCAGAAAAAAGTGCTTTACGCTACGTTACCAACAGTTTTTGCAACTAAAATTTTCTGCTAAGAGATTGTTCCAACATTTTGGTGAGCTACATAACAGTTAAATGTCTCTGTCCTAAGGCGTTTTTTTGTTCCGTAACCACGGTAGCGTTTAGTTGGTTAGTTTGGTCCACTTAACGCTTGCAACGCTGCGAACGTCATTCTATCTCTGATTAAGTTTACACGGCAGCTTAAAACCGGTTTAATAACAACCGTATTTAATAAACTCTCGCATCCGATTGGTATATTCTTTTAGATTTAGAAATATATTCCAATCGAATTCAAGAGTTTACTAACTACGGTAGTTACTAAACCGGTTTTAAGTTGCCGCGTAAACTTAGTCTTTGTTGCTTGAGGCGTTGCGAGCGTTAAGTGGACCAAACCAACCAACCAAACGATATCGTGGTCACGAAATGAAAAACGCCTCTATTTAAAGAAAAAACAAAGATATATGATTTAACTATCAGATAGCTTACCAAGAGATTGGAACTCTCTCTTTCTCTCTCACTTGGTTTCAGGCTACCTCTTTACTATTAAAAGATTTGAACAATCGGCCCTAAAGGCCTTTGCACGTGAGAAAGTCTTAACCGTAAACGTAATTCCGTAAATTTCCAACACATACAATCAGATAGAGCAATGCAAGTGAAAATTCGTAAGGATGAATTTTCACTTGCGTTGCCCTATCTGATTGTATGTGTTGGAAATTTACGGAATTATGGTTAAGACTTTTTGACGTGTAAAGGTCTTAAATGACATTTAAGGTGCCGTAACTTGCGTAAACGTAATCCGCGTATTCTAGTAATTTAATAGAAGTTACGTTATTTTAAAAGTCGGAATTCATATAAGGCGTAATTTTATTAAAAAATAATACAAGTTATCCATTTATAGCAATATGTGGTTGCCACAAAGTGAAAACGTTGGGGCCCATAAAGAGTGTATTGTTAATCTCCCTATATTGATTACTGAACGTCACTCCATACTAGAGTTGGTTAGTAGTATACTACAACTTTGGGAGAAATAAAATTGCGATCGTTTAGTAAATATGTTGGAACGATTTAGCACAAATCGTTTACAAGAAAATTTTACAATAGTTGCAAAGCTACTGTCAGCGTAGTGGAAAGTACTTACTAAGTTTTCTTCTGCTAAATGCAGTTAACTTATTTTTTTGCCAGAAAATGGAGTGTAAACAATCATCGACCAGTGACAAAAAAAACGAAAAATTGCATAAAAGACGAAAAATTAAGAAATTTAAAGAGTCATGGTTAGACAATGAAATATTCAAGGGCTGGTTAACGTACCACTTGGACGGTAAGAGAGCTTATTGTACTGCTTGCGATAAAATTCTTGTATGTGGTAAGTCTGAGTTAATGAGGCATGCAGATCGGAAGGTCCATGCTTATAATATAAATAGACAAAAAGCACGAAAAGTTAATCAACCGACTTTGTTGCCTGCTACAGAAAATATAGACTATTTGGAAAAAGTAAAGGAAGCCGAAAATAAATTAATAACATTTTATGCGGAATATGATATAGCTCTAGATTCATTAGGTCATATGATTCGTTTCTTACAAGAAATTTGCATATATCCAGAGATAACAAGTGACATTGCATTGTCACGCAGAAAATGTACACAACTTATAAAAAATGTGATTGGTAAACACGCAACTGAAAATACGATTGAAAATTTAAAACAACAAAAATTTTCGGTTATAATCGATGAGAGTATAACTGTTACAAATGATAAAATTCTTTCTATACTTGTTAAATATGTTGATCGGAACACTAAGAAATCTAATACAGAGTTGTTAGAATTAATAAAGTTAGATGTAAAAGATTGTTCTGCCAATGACATTTATTTAGCATTTAAAAATTGTTTAGAAAGTAAAGGAATTCCATTAAAAAATATTGTGGGAATGGCGTGTGATGCCAATAACGCATCTGAAATGGTTGAGAATTATAATTCTTTTATTAATAAATTAAAAACAGAAATACCAACTCTTATATTGCTTAAATGCATGTATCATTCCTCGGCATTTGTTGCTAGCAAAGCTTTCTCAAAATTACCGAAATCTTGTGAACATGTGTTGTATGCAATTGCTAAATACGACTCCAACAATGCAAACGAGTCAATTGTTCTACGTGAATATCAACTATTTTTCAGCAGTGAATTGAATAAAGTATCAAAGTCATCAGCTATAAAATCGCCTGATATCTTACAAAAACTTATCATTAAACTTCTTGATAATTGGGAGAATTTAATAGAGTACTTCTATATAGAGATTTCTGAAAAAAATAAATTAGCTCAAGATATTTATAAAATTTTAAAAGATGATTACATTAAAGCTTATATGTTGTTCTTAAAATACTCTTTGCATTTTTGTAATAATTTTAATACGTTATTTCGATCTAGAAAAATCTTAATTCATAAATTGTCCGAATGTAGTAACCAGTTAATAAGACAAATAGGACAAAATTTTTTATTACCTGCCAGTTTACAAAATATTTCTTTAGATATTATTAATTCGCGAAATTTTTTGTCTTTTAATGAATTATATTTTGGTTCTGAATGCGAAATGTTTTTGCAAAATAAAAAACCTAAGTTCATAGAAGAAGTAAAATTAAAATGCTTAGATTTTTATGTTTCAGCTACAGAAGAAATGATAAAATTATTGCCTTTTAACAATGTAGTTTTTGATGGTTTAAAATTTTTGGATCCTAAATTTGCTTTGAGTTATAAAGAAAGAAGTACGATTAAAGATTTGACTAATATTGCTACATATCTTGGAA